ATATGCAGAATCAGGAATGATTATGCCAAGAGTGGTTAAATGGGTAGCACAGAATGCTGTCCTATATGTGATGTTTGGGTTGTGGTGTTTTGGTGGTTTGTTGGTGGATTTTTTTTGTTTTGGTTTGGTTTGTTTTTGTTTTTGTTTTTTGTTTTTTTATAACTTAATGGTAGCATTACGTTATTTTCATGTTTTCTGAGCTGTTGCTGGCTGGTAGCAGGTGTTTCAGAAAGCCAGTGGAAGTGCAGTACGTGGTGCAGAGCATTGAGTGGGGGTGACCACAGCAGAACGAAATTAAACCACATCCGTTGCTGGGTGGAATGAACTGATGAAGAACATAGTGGGTTCAATGTGATACTGCAGTAGTACCACCTCCCTCACCCCTGACTCAGGCATGTCAGTCAGTATAAAAAAAAGTGCAATTACTGCATAGCATGTTTCTTGCTGAACTTTGGTAGTAAAAGGGAAAACATGAAAGAGGCAGTATCGCAATTTCTAAGATTCCACCTTGTACACATGATCCCTGACCTTGAAGGTCCACCTTATGTGTGCAGCGTGCGTAGTTTTTCAGAAGCCTGGCTTCCTAGCAAAGATCTTCACTAAGTGTGCTGGGTAAAGAACTGACTTGGATTCATGTCAAGGATAGGACAAAGATAGGACAATGCAGAGAAGTGCTACGCAGGAATCTGCAAATGCCTTTTGCCATTGCCTCCAAACTCTGGAGAGTTTTGTTGCGAGTTTCCAGCCTTGAATCCTGCACGGCTCTGGCAAGACCGTAATAGCAGTTGGTATTGCAAGTCGTGAACCCGAGTAGTCCTCGAAGCTGATCTGGTGTACTTCATTGCAGCTCAAACTCTGTCTTGTGGCAGTTCTTTTGTTGCCATGTTTCAGGCCTTGATGGCATTTCAATGCTGCGTTGTTTTCATGGACAAAGGCTACCAGTTGTGCCAGCTTTTGCATAACTGGTATGAGTCTGGTGTACAGTGTAGACAAGGAGGTGGATGATAAACAGAGAGGGTTAAACTTGTTTCTGTATTGGAAATCATGCAGGAACTGTTGTTGCCAGCCAGCCTTCCTCTCTTTCCTTCTTTCTAAAGCTGATAAATTAAAGCTCTGCACCACCCTGTGCTGCCTCCCGTTCCTTTCTCATCCTCACCTCTAAACTGTTTTCTCTCAGGGGTGCTGCTTTTGGCCCTGAACCTCCAACCTCCCCTGTTGCTTTAGAATTGAAGGGACAAAGCTTCATTGAATTGAACATCCTCTCTCTTCTCTCCCAGCTGTTTGGAACAAGCCTCTCTCGGATTAGAGCGTGCCTGTTTTGCCCTGCTCTGCTACAGAAGCTTCTTGCCTTTTTGATATTCAGTCGCAGGCTTCCATCTCCTTTCTGACCAGCTCCTGTTTACTTTGCAGAATACAACGTTGTCATGGCAACAGGTTACTTTTCAAAGGGAACATCTTGTCATTATATTTAATCCACTGCAGCTGAAGAGGACTGAAATATTAAGTTGTTGTTGCTATGGATACTGCTTTGTTACATCAGTTTCTTTTGTGTCAGATTTCATATACAGTGTTGGGTCCTCTTTTTTCTTCCCCATAGAGCAAACACTGAGTGCCGTTCCATTATTATTGTAATTGCTCTCCACCAACATAATTTAGCTTAAAAATCTACAGTGCATTTTAGTTTCCATAGCAAGAATTTTCTTTCCATTTGCAAACCCATTCCTGGGGACGCGGAAACAGTGAAAATTATTTAACAGATTGTGTGCCCTTGCAGAGCAATCAGCTTTGTGCCCTTTTAAAAAAAAGTGTGATGTAGTGCAGCCTGAGCGAGCTTCCTGCACAGCAGCTTAATTCAGTCCAGTCCTTACCTTTTGGGGCAGGGGAAGGGCGTACCTTTAGGGTGGGAATATAATCAGGAAAAGGTAAATGAGTGATGAAAAGGCACACAGAAATATTTCTCTCGACACTTCATTTTCATGTGAGGAATCATGGTTGGATAGCCCCATTGAGTGTCCCCAGCTAACTCCACAGGGATAGTTAGGAGCAGAAGTCCCATCTGAAACTTTGCTTTGATCTTTGCAATTACTTATAGGATGCTCCAGCATCCTGTAATCAATCCTGATTCTTAAATGCTTTATTTATCATATTCAGTGTGATGCAACTGAAGAAATTGGGAGTTGGGGGATATTTGGAGTGCTGTGTTGTTTCCTATCTAAATAGAAAATACCTTGATTTTCTGTTTAAGTACAAAACTTGTGCGGCCTTTGGCTGGTGTGAAGTATTGTGGCTGGCAGAAACTGCATAGACTTGTTTTAAGTTTGACTTGCACTGACTAGTAGAGATGTGCATGGCTTTAAAATGAATTCTGGGAACAAAGGAAGAGCATCAGCATTTTCTGCTGTCAGTTTTCCCTTCATTCCTCACAGGGAAAAATTCTGACATCTTGTAGCTGAAAAAATGTACCCTAGTATTTAATTCATAACTTTGTTGTAAATATAAAATTGATTTTCTAGTTCAGTCATTTCTTTGCCTAACCTGAAAACAACAGAACAGTGTCAGATCATGTCTTGCAAAAATATGCATTGGAGAAAAACATTTTGACCTATTCTCGTTCTTTTCAGGAGACTTCTGGCATGTATTTTAGAGTGGATCTGCTTACCAGGAAGGTAGCATTGCGTAGACATCATGACATAAGATTGAGTATTACAAAACCTGTGTTTATTCCTGTCTGACAGGTTCTCCTGTCGTGTTGTCTTGGATAAGGTCCATTCAGATCCACTGCTGTAGTTCACCCACTTGTGCACCAATGAATAACATTTCAGAGTGGTCAGTGACCATAAGGTGAAGTTTAACTTAATACACATATGCAACATACCTTGAAATTTTGAGGTGAAAATGTTCATAAAGATATGCAAATGATCATGTCCAAAAGTCCCTCCACTAACCTTTTTGACTTAAAATGGTATTTAATGGTTTGGGCTATCCATTGTTAGTTTTGCTCAGGGCTAGCAGTTTACAGTCGTGATATTAATTTGTGAAGTTTAAAGGAAACTCTTCCTCAGTCATTGCTTGTGATCACTGTGAAGACAGCAGGGTGAATAAGAAATCCTGCAGGGCGGCAGCTTCCTTGGAAAATTATGTCATTATTCCTGTAACAGCAAACTGCAAGATTAATTCAAGTTTGCTGTTTGCAGATTAAAGATGGTGATCTGTTAGGTTTATGCATGTGCTCTTCCTTGCTAGTGTGTTGAGACTCACTTAAATGTCTTGCAGTTATTGAAGTGTTAAATTCAAAAGTTTGTCTGATAGCAGCTCTGAATTTTGTCGTCCTTTTAATGTAATATGCAGAATATAAATAAAAGATGTCTGTTTTAATAACAACAGTTTATAGGAAAAGAGGAATGTTGATCTTAAGGATATTGAATTTCCTTGGATTTGGTTGTGTTCTTTAATGCTATTTTACAGGAGTCTTGGAGGGTCATTTAAGTTTTCAGACTGTAGCTGCATTCAGTGTCCCAAATACCAACGTTCAGGCACAAGTGCCTTTATAGACTGTAGTGATCTGGCTCTTGACGAGAGCTGGATAGGTGATATTACAGCACAGAGGTCCCACGGACGTAGTCCTTGAGAAATTAATATTTCCAGTAAATAGTTTTGTTCGTGTGCCTTCTAGCTGCTTATATTGTAATATATTTAATAAAGAAAAAGGGTCAAAGGGCACTCTTCAGTGGTAAAGTTTTATTTACTCTGTGAGTCTGTTCAAAATTTAGGAAGAAAAATAAATTCTGTCATGTCAGCTGTGTTACTCTGGTTTATATTGGCATACCTTTAACTTCTATTGTTGCCAGGGTAATTCTACTGCAACATGAAAAAATAGTTTTTCTTCTACCATATAATGTGATGTTTCAGTATCTCCAACCAACAGTGTGACCAGCACAGAGCCCTTCAGAGTATAATTCTCAATGTATGGAGGACAGTTCATTTGGAACTTGAAGTTTTTTATATAAATACCTTTTCAAAAGAGCGGAATAATGAGGGCCAAGTGTATTATGTAGAAGGGAAGCCCTTTTTGGATGAATTGAATTAAATTGACTTCTACAAATGTTACAAGGCATGTTTTTATTGCTTTTTAGATTTTCCATCCTTCTGTGTCACGCTATCTGATGTGATTTTAGCAAATGAATTAACAGCAGCAATAATAATTTTAACTGCTTAAAACGAGAGGTAGATAATTTTGCATGTGGCATCCAAAGTAACTTGAATGGTTTTCCATGAACTCTGCCTGGAAAAAGAGGAATTAGTTTTGCCAATTCTGGTAATGCAAGGCTCTGTTCTTCAAAGATTAATACCCCAAATATTTTTATTTAAGGTATTTTCTCCTTCAAAATGAAAATGACCACAAAGATGTTCATGAGGAATGTGGTATTTCCTGTGTATTAATCTGAATCATAGTGCTTAGCATATTGTCTGCATTATTTCAGGTTTGGTGTTGAAATAAGCAGTTAAAGGAACATAGTACTAGTAAAAGTCAGATGCTTGTTGGAAGGTGATTCTTTGCATAGCAGGCTTTTGAATTGGCTGGCTGAAGCACAGAGCAGTTCAGAGCTGGGGAGAACTGTAGAGGCTTTTAAAGGATCTTGATTAGAAGTCAGTGCTGCTCCTGTATTGCGTGAAATCTAACCATCAAAAAGTAGGAAGATGTGTGTCCCATTATCAGCTGCCCAAAGCTTTTTTGCTACTGTGAGGACAGGTCACACTGATCCTCTTCCTGACTTCAACTGCTAGACTAAAAGTTCCAGACTTGCCCTGTTGGTTTTTGCCATTTGCAGTGTGGCCTATAATACACCTGAGTATATCCTTTCTTGTTTTCTTAATAATGTATTATTTTTGCTTCTCTTCCATTTGCATTGGAAATGCAATGAGAAAAAAATACAGGATATGATCCTAAATTTCATTAATTGTAATTGTTTCTCATTACTGTTTTCTTCTTTATATATTAGGAGGCTTAACAGTACCCAAGGTGAAATCAGAGTTGGACCCAGCCATCAGGTAAGGGGTTTGTTCATATTCAATATCCAGAGGGCATGCTTTTGCCGCTGGCTCCGTTCAGAGGACACTTATTTAAAATTGTATGCATTCAAATACAATGAGTTTTTTAGATTCATCGTGAGTGCTTTAGAATTTCTTAGCTCAGTTAATGAGATTTTTCTATGTCAAATGTTGGTATGTTAATGATTTTTACTAGCAGAAGTGCTATTGGGTTAATTTTAGAATAAAATTGAAGGAATATGAGCAAAAATCTCAGCTATTATTGGGCACATTCTGGAGTTAAAAATGAATGCATTCTCAGCTGGCTTTCACCAAGCAATGTTTTTAATAAACTATAAAAAATTAATGTGGTGTTTTCTAGTTGTATTGAAAGTAGAACTTTTAATTTTAATTTGCATAGTAAAATTGTCAAGTTGATAGTATGTTGCCGTGTAACAGTTAGTCCTTTTCATGAATCTATGTATTTAAACAAAATGGAGTTCTACTAGAAGTGATTAAAAAAAAGACGGCAATTTTCCCAGAACAACATTTCGAAATTAGAAGGATTGGAGAAATTTAAACCTGAGAAAGGCTTCTTTCCTGTACAGCAACTGTGTTGAGATATACATATGTATTTATGTATGTATTCGTCTTTTAACACAGGATACAGTGCTTTTAAGCATGTCTGTTAATGTAGCTGTCATTAATGCCGAATTCACAGTAAACCTGCTCTCCCTTTTATGTTTGTCTCTGAGCGTGCTCCGTCTGGTGCCATGTCTATGGCTTTGCATTTCCTCATTGACTTGTGTTTAACTTGAACTCCGCACGTGTTCTCTTCTTATTTTTGTATGTTAAATGAATTTGGCCAACTGTGGTACTTCAACATAAAAGTCGGGGGGCCATTGTGTATTTAGTAATTCAACAGTTGTCTTAAAAATGAAATTAGTGTTTATAATTGGAGCAGTTTTGGCAGCTGTTAGGGATAGACTTCTTTCCAAATACCCTCTTCCTGGGTTGCCATGGGCCAACATCACCGACACGCTCTCCCGCTGCCATTCAAGAGGTTAGCTGGTCCTCACCCTTTCACCTGCATAATTTTCATACAACGCAGTTTAAATTCTTTTTAACTAGGAGGCGCGGTAATTCTGAACGATTATTGAAATATCCCTTTTGTCCATAGTCTACAGAAGTCATGTTATAATTACAGTATCTTATTTGTATTTCCCCAGAAGTTTTTTATGCAGGCCTTTTTCACTTTCTATGCTGGGGAGAGGATAAGTTTTGATTTTAAAGATAGAGAGACCTCAGTTACATTGTTTGTTTGACTGTGAGAAGCAGTAAGAACTGTAAGGTCTTAAGACTAGTGCCTTAAGTCATTTGGATTGTTAAAATAGAAATTGAGAAAGCATGCTGAATGTGTTCAAACATTGGGAAGCAGAATAAGGCTAAGACTCTGAGTGTTAGTTTGTTCCTGGTATGTTAGTTCTAATTTGAGGGAAATCCTTCATAAGCACTGAAAATAATCTGTTTTTAAAGAGCATTAACATACAACTTACTCTGGTTTATAAGGCCAGACCTGTCACTAGGAACTGAATGCTCTCCTTTACCTGTGGAATTGGCTTTGTACTGTCCAAGTGCTGGATTTTTGCATCCAAGTAATGAATATTCCTTCAGACTCTTAAAAATCTTGTTTAATAACTAGTGAAAGTAAACATTCATGGAACCTATGTAACTTTCTTAAGGATGTTTTGCATTTAGAGAAAAAAAATCCTTGGCAATTAAACCTGTATCATTCTTTTCACTAGTCATAATAAGAGTACTGTAAATGGTACCTTCAAAACAACTTTCATCTCAAATTGTCATGTAATATTTTGGCAGGTATTAGTCACCTGTGCTGCAAGGTATAATTACCAGATGCATTTATGGATGGAAAAAAAAGTAGGAAGAAGGTCCACTGATTTTAGAGTACTGTTAATTTTTGCTTGCTTAGTATTTTAAACTTCCGTTGTTCTTTCACGCGTTTGCTGAGCATCTGTGTTTCTGACAAATGTCATTGCTAAGAGGATATATTCTCATCCTGTTAATTAGTATAAGGTATAATCTTAAGATATATGAATGGCTGATTGTAGGCCGCGGTAGGAAGTCAGACTGAAGATGGTATTTGCCGCTTCCCGTTCTGTAGTCTGATTCATTCTGTGGAAAGTGTAAAAATAGTCTCCTCTGCACGCTGGGCTTTTTTAACTCAGGGGATGGATACTCTTTCCTCTACCCATCTTATTGAGAATAAGGTATATGTAGCAGAATCCAGAAACCTGAGGTCCCAATAGTGGTTTCTGATGAATATCTGTTGCCTTCATTTTCCTTAAATTGTGCGTATGAGAGGTGCTAGAGGACTGTTGGGTTTTTTTGATACTTAGTGCACAGATACCTCAAACGACTGCTTGTATCATAATAGCAAGCAGGGACACAAGTGAAGATAAACGTTCTGTAGAATTGCAGTTGTTCTCAAAATTCACGTGCATGGGAGGAGGGTCTCTATTAAATGTTCTCCTATGAAAACTTTTGGCTAGCAAATTAATGACCAGAGGTGTTCAAGAGGAAGTTGCTCTTAGGAGTAACTCTAGTAATTAAGCATGTTCCTAGGGTACCTAAGGATGAACATTAATTTGTGAAAGCAGCCTGGTTGCTAGAATGCATAGCTCTCATAGAAATCTCATCTTGGTATAATGCTTGCTTATCCTGTTCCAGAAGAGAAGTTCAATGGCATATCCATTTTCCCAGGCAAGAAGTAAAATAAAGTACAGATTAAAGAGCAGAACATGAAAGACATCTGAACCTGTGACTTGTAATTACTGGTTATGTATAAATGTTGCCTCTCTCCATGACAAGGAGGTAATTATAGGGCTTAAAAGCTGTTTCTGAAGAGGCTCTCAGCTATCTCATCCCATAGCAGTAGATGACTAAAGATGCTAATTGGGTTCTCTGGATACAGTGTAGTACTTATTTAGTGGTACAGCTCATTTCACTGAGCTATCTCACTTTCAGAAAATTTCTTTGTTTCTCTTCACAGTTTTAATGATTTACTGAGGACTTAATTTTAAATTTAGTGTCAAATGTGTAGGGTTTTTTACTGATTTTAAAATGGTACACAGATGGTAGCCACATTCTTGCCTTCTTTCATATTAGTATGTTATATGAGCATGTTTTAGCCTGGCAGGCAGGAGTTGTAACAGCATCTTTTTGACAAATGAAAACTAACTGTCTCTTTGTGGGTAAATTGTCCAACAGTGTTTGACTTCTGTATAACGGAGGACTATATATGCAGTACAAAATGGTTTACCTTTAAGCTGCAGTTTAAATGGTTTACTTTTTCTGCAGACATGCTTGCACGTGGTCTATATATGGCTTCACTGATGGTGGACTGAAAGGTGGTGTTAACCCTGCATAGTTGTCAGAAAATGAATGCTGGATAAAGTGAATAGATTGAGGCTTGATGACCCATTTTCCTCATAAACTTCTGAAACTTGGATCAAATACCTTCATCACCTGTTGTCTGAATATCTTCCGTCTATGAGATCATATTATTCCAGAGAATTTACGAACTTTGTTATTAATAACACTTGTGCATCCTCTTAACATTGGTAACAACTATAATGTCTGTATGAACTCTTCATTTTTTCTTCTAGGCTAAGCTTCCTGATCTGCAGCCATTTCCTTCCCCAGATGGTGACACAGTGACACAGCATGAAGAACTTGTGTGGATGCCAGGAGTCAATGACTGTGACTTACTTATGTACCTTAGGGCAGCAAGGTAATTTCAGCCAAGATACTACTAATGTCTTTAGAATGCTGTAGTGGAAATGTGGGCTGCCATGTACGTGCAGTTGGCTACGGTCACTCCTTTCTATTCTGTCTTAGTGTAGCATGGATATCACTGGCTAAGCTGAAATGTTTAGTTTGTGACAAGAATGCTCTGATTTGATGTTGGGCCAACACAGAATCTTTCCATTGGCTGTGGCTTTTGGATTTAAAATGCAAGCCAGCAGTATGTGCTGGCATGATAGAAAGAGCGTTGGATGTGTACCATGTAACAAGGGAAGTAACTGCTCTGAGTGGAATAGCTGTGATAGCGTAGGATTCCTTCAGAGACTAAATGTTTTTTGAATGAGCTCTAGTTTGCATTTCAGTTTCATACAGATCGCTGGTATGCCTGATAGATTAATCAGATGCACTGGTGGGCCTCATAGTAATTCAGAGTATGAGTAAATTACTTGTAGTTTGCAAGAATTCAGAGATGTGTTCAATCTGCAGTTGAAGTCAGTTTTCTAACATAATAAAACTAAGATTACAACAGGTTTGCTGTCTCTGGTGAGACTCTGTCCTCATGTCTGGAGGTTATGTCTTCCATAATCCTGATCAGGCTTTGGTACTACTGCAGTGCAGATTTTTAATGAAATCCACTTAGATTGGATTTTAATTTCAAATTAATTATTCCATATGCTGAGGTGACTCAGGTTTACATAACAAATAGCAGTGTTTGTGGTGCCTTGTTTTACTTGTTTCCACAGTATTGCAAGGCCCTGAACTTTGTGATGTAGGGTGTAAATATACTATTTGTGTATTGCATGATGTGTGCATCTAACAGTGGCTGAAGAACTTAACCTTTTTCCCCTCAAACTATAAAGGAGCATGGCAGCTTTTGCAGGCATGTGTGATGGAGGATCCACAGAAGATGGTTGTGTTGCAGCCTCCCGTGACGACACTACACTTAACGCACTCAATACAGTAAGTATGCAGAACAACTGTATGGAAGAACTGTCTTTCCATTTATTTCTGGACTACTTAAAGCATGTAGTGCATCAAATATTTAGCAGGTAAAATAGATTTTGGGATCACAAGATGAGTATGATAGTAGCCTAGGATATCATAACTTCCCAATACCAACTAGCTTTCAAAAATCTAACCTACAGAACTTCAGTGATAAACTTTTGGGTGGTGCCTTTAAGGTGACAGCTAGTGAATGTTCTGTTTGGGAAGCTGCTCAGGTTAAGTACACCAGCTGGAATTGTTACTTATTCAGCTGATGCCTGACCTGGCTATTGGTCCTTTCATTCAGTCCAGCTAGCTTCTAGCTGTAGGAAAACAATAGTTATTTCCTAGAAGGAAAATTCATAATGCCATCAGATGTATAGTGTCATGTATGTGGTAATGACTGTCTGGAATTTGTCCCACTCATGATCCAGTCTTCATTATCATTTATATTTGGATGCACGTATGTCCAGTTATCTCTTGCATAAACATAATGTGCGTAAATAAAGCTTTACTGAGTAGTTATATAGATGTGAGTGTATGTTGAGATGCTCACGTAGTTTCAGTGCAGCCACAACAATTAACTGTTTTGGGGAGGGTGGAGGGCACTAACATCAGTAAATCATGATACATGAAATGTTATTTTAAGATCAAGCTGAAGAAATTTGTCTGTCATTCCATATTTTTGGTAACATAGTGAAATCTACAGTTGTTTGTTTCCCCAGAGCCCTATCTGTAGCTTTTGGAGAATGTGACTCTAGGCTTTGTTGTGTCTTCATTGTTTCCTTCCTGAAATACAATAAAAGGAATTATGTGTAACTGGTCATATGTTACTCTGAAGAAACACATAGACAGATCTGCTGAGTATACCAACAAACAGTTTTCATTCTTCCTCTTTTTATGTCACCTTTTATCCATAAAATGTATCTTGGAGGTAGGAACAGTTGAGTTCTGTCCTGTCATTTTCATGGTTATTGGCTACATTCTAATCACAGGCACTTGTGAAAGCTGTGGAAAGGATAGGATGTACCCTTTGCTGAATGAGTTTCTAGCTAGATCTGTGAAATGTTTTAGGGGCAATGACAACGGAAATGTACAGACCCCACGTACAGCTGGTAGGACTGGAAGCTGGGAGCAACTTCAGTTGAGCATGTTTTTTGTGAAACTGCCAAAGGAGGATGCAGTGTGTAGCTTCAGATTTAATTTTTAAAGATCTCCTTTCCTAAAAGTAGTTTTAAGCATATTCTGCCTCAGTGTTCAGTACCGTAACTATCTACAGCGACTCATATATTACTTTGTTCACAATGCTTGAGGCTCAAGTAATTTGTTCTCATTCAGTAAAAATAAAACAACTAGTGATACCAACAAAAAACAACTTAGTATGTTGTACTCCTGCAAATTGGCTAATGTTAAATACCACCTCATGACCACAATATTATGTCTGCCTCTGCTTGCTATGCTTTAATTATTTACAGTTGCATGGTTTTTAACCATTTATTTATAAAATTCTTAAAAGCTTGTAGATGGTTGTGATACACATCAGAAACTGAGTGATAATCACTGCAACAGAGAACAGATTATCTGTTTGTTTAGAGGAAGTATCCTAAGCATGTTGTTATTTGGTTGTTTTATTAAAGTGAATGGAACTGACTTTATCAAATTAATCACATTAAAATATGCTTAGCTGATTCTTTACTGTCAGTAAAGCATCTCATTACGTGAAGCTTTTAAATACTTCAGAACGTTAAAAAGAAGCTCAATCTGTGTAAGTTGTAGAACTGGTTTGTAACTGGTCAAGTCCATGATTAGGTATGTATAACTTGATATCTACACTAACGTTAAAATGCCTGTATTCTTAACATGAAAAATGTTACTTATGCAACATTAGCTTACCGAAACCACTCACATTGGTTTTTGTTTTTGTTGTGGTTTAACCTGGCAGGCAGCCAAGTACCACGCAGCCGCTTGCTCACTCCCCCCGCTGGTGGGGCGGGGAGAGAATCGAAAGGGTGAGAGTGAGAAAAACTCGTGCGTTTAGATAAAGACAGTTTAATAGAACAGAAAAGGGAAAATAATAATGATGATAGAATATACAAAATGAGTGATGCACAATGCAATTGCTCACCACCCGCGCTGACCGATAACCAAGAAGCAATTGGTACTTCCTGGATCACGCCTACCATTCATATACTGAGCATGACGTCACATGGTATGGAATACCCCATTGGCCAGCTGGGCTGGCTGTCCTGATTATGTTCCCTCCCATCTTGTGTACCTAGCTCAGTCAGTAGGCATGGGAGCTGTCCTTGGACTAGCAGGGTACTTAGCAACAACTGAAAACATCAGTGTGTTATCAACATTCTCCTCATACTAAATCCAAAACACAGCACTAGGAAGAAATTTAACCCCATCCCAGCCGAAACCAGGACAGTTTTATTTCCACTTCTATTTGATTACATGCGTTTCATAGAGTGCATTAATTTTTGTCTTGTTTCCTGCAACAGACAGGAGTAAAATAGGACTAAGATCTAAAATGTGCCCCTGTAATAGTTATTAAACAGCAACAGAACTTTCATTCTTATTTTGCAAAATTGTTTAAATATAGATCTATACACTTGCATGTGTAACCAGCTAGAAATCCAAGATCAAATTCTGTACCCAAATTAAATGCTTCCTTGTTGTTCTCACTTTTACATCTGCAAAGTCAAGTGTTATTTCTCAGTGCTTCACAGCGCACTTCAGAACTGAGGTGAATGTATAAATCTTAGTCCTTTGGTTCCTTTCCTAAAGATAGCCAGCGTATTAAACATTTTTATACTGCTTAATAAGAACGGCAGTTAAGTCTGTATTGCACATCCACTTCAGTTTCATACCTGTTTTACATTTTATTTCCTTCCTTTCTCTTGGGATGGATGCCATCTGGTTCTGGTGGCTTACCACTCTAGAGTTTTCTAAATTGTTCCCTAACATCCTTCTTAGAGACTCAAATCTCTGTTAAGGCCAATAATCATCAAAGAGCTTTTGGAATTGGAATTTCTTTCCCCTTGTCATCTATAATAAAAGACTAATGCAGAAGATTCATTTAACTTCACTGCTTCACTATCTACTTTAATTACCCCCTTTAATCACTTGGGAGTCTAACGAGCCTGTAGTTGCACTTGTAGACTTCTTGCTTCTGAGTCTTAGATTACTCCCAAAATATTTTGTTTCTGTTCTTCTGATTCTTTCCTCTTTCTAGTATTTCTAGTGCACATCTATTTTAGAAAATCACTGCTGATTCATTTTCTGAATGGGGGAGGGTTTCAGGCTTCTGAAATAAAAGCACTAAACAAACTCTTAATTTATCCTCTTAAGAATCTTCTTCGTCTGTGTGTAATATTTGTTGTCTGCTGTTGTCATGACTTCCTCTTCCCCCAATATGACATCTTAATGTATAGCAATAAGACTTACCCTGTGGTGTTTTTGTAATCATCTCGTTAACTTCAGCTTTGCTGAAGTTTCTCTTTTGTAGGTATTGTGGTGCAAGTCCTCTGTTTTCAACCCTGTATTGACACAGTGTAGTTCCCATTAAATAGCCTGCGTGAACATGGACTGTCGTACTTCCAGGAAAATACAGTCTGCAAGGTTTGACCTTAATGACTCTTGAAAGGTCCTTAGGCTTCTGTGATGTTTGATTTATTCATGCTTCAAAAATCTACTCTGTGTACTAATACTGTTCATTGCAGTTTTTAGAAACCAGTGAAGATACTTTCCTTGTTCACTTTGAATTTTTCTAGAAAAGCGTTTTCTTATGAATGATAGTTCTGTCAGGTGGGATATTTTAAGAAACTTTGACTTGTTTCTCAGAGCCTACTTTTTTGACTAACTTAAAACAGTTTAGAAGGGTAATTTGTTGTCCTGACAAAATGGTGCCCTTTTGATCTTTCTGTTCACCATCTATTTAAAACATACCAGATTTATCTGATAAATAGTGAGAATCTTACCCTGCACTAAATTGTGGGTTTTTTTAGAAATTATCATATGCAACCCAGAAGATTAATGTAAAAAAATTGATATGGTATGATTTCTTATTATGGAAATCCAATAGACTTCAGAGCAGCACTTCTTATAAATCAGTCTTGACAAGCTCCTCTGCTAGTGTTTTATTTATGTAATAACAGATGCTGTAGCCCCCAGAATGATTTATTGTTAATTACACCAGATAGAAATGAAGATCATGGAAGGCACAATGCAACATACATATCAGCTCATCGAAATAATTATTCACTTAATGTTCCAGGTGAATTTTAACTCCTGTTCCTTTGTTTGGCTGTTGGGATTTGATGCCACATTTGTCATTGTAACCCTTAGGAAGGAAATAAAGTTTTCATTTGGAGTTCGTTGCCCTCCTGGTGAGTGTTGGCTGTCATACTGAAGAGGTATGGAGGAGGACAGATTAGTTCCTGAAAGTCTTTCACCATGATGTTTTTAGATGGAGAGGGGCTTTTTTGTTACACTACCATAGAACAGGTACCTGAATTTGGTGGGCTTTCTAAAACTAGCTGGGTTTTGTGCTTTGTTTAAATATTCATGAACAAAGGCCGTTTGATGCTTTAGACCTTAAAATATTAACCTTGCGAAACGAAAACATGCATGTTCAGTACATTTTTATTTTTCCAATTCCATAATTGAACCATTATGCGTGAAGCCATTTTTATTGCTGAAATTGTAGGTGATGGAAACTTTTTGATTTTTTTTTTTTAAAATCTACCCAGTTCCTCCTATCTTGTAAACTGGAGAAGCACATTGCTTCGATGCAGAACTCTTCCTAATAAGTGAAAAGGGAAATGGAAATGCTAATTTCAGTTACTCCCAAACCATGTTTTGGGTCACTGTGGAGAACATTATTGCATTCTGAGAGCCAGCGTTGTTGATGTGGAAGTTTTATAATTAATACTCGGTAGTAATGCACTTTGCCTTTTTAGTGCTTTTGGGCT